TTAAAAAATGCACCATATATGACAAAATTTAAATTTTTAATCGTGAAATTTAAAATTTTTTGAAGTAAGGGTCCGTTTGTTTGAATGAAAACTATTTTGAGAAAATTATTTTTCGACTTTCCAATGTTTAGATGACAGAAAGCTTATCGATCTACGGAAAACGTTTTCAATGGACTAAAAACAAGTTTAAATTGGGGAAAAGCGAATTCTCCTTGTTGAAGGAAATTATTTTCCCTAAACAACCAAACAATTTGTTCTTGAAAAATGATTTTCATGGAAAGCTTTTTCTTTCATAATGAAATTTTCGGTAAAACAAATGGACCCTGAACTGCACTTAGAATAACATTTACAAGTGATCGGGAGACTTCCCTTAGTTGCTTAGGACTTTGACATTCTCGATGCGCCAACCCAAAATTTTAGCCAGGTTGATTTGTTCTATGTTCTATACAAATAAGAGAATGATTAATATTCGTTCGGGAAGACTGATTTTGGGAAGCCAATTTTTAAGGCTGCGTTTTTTTATCAAAAAATGAATAATTTGAAATTTTTTTCCTAAAAATGATCGTCTATGTTGCTTACAAAAATAAACAAACAAAAAATTTAAACAGAAACGAAATATTTAGACATAAATTGTTGTCAAATATGAAAACATATTTCATTGAATAATTATTTGAAGCGTTTATTTGTAAGAAGATGTTCTCATAAGAATTCATTTTCCGTGAAACAAACGGAGTCTAAATTAGATAGCCTAAACTTAGGGTACAAAAAACTCTAGGAATCAATGTTCGCAAATTCTCCCTTTTTTTGGTAAATTGTGCCTTATTATTTGTTATTAAAATTAATGTACTTGAATTGATTTATTCGTGTTGCTGACCAAGATTGTTTTTCCCCCAAATGGTGCCATTCGCTTTAGTCTACGACCTTTAGTAATCAAGGCTTCATTCTCTAGACAATTATTTTGTGAAATTGTGATCCTCTCTTATGGATATTGAATTTGGTCCATAATTGTTTCGATGGGATAAGAACAATTAATCCTGGTGTAGTTCTTGCGCTTCTATTCATTATCAACGTGACTTTCATGTTGAATAGTAAATACTTTCAACATGAGCAAAGTCAAAACCCATGCCAGTAGCATTATGTGGAAACTACATATGAATTTATTCAAAACCAAGAAGCACGTTTCAATTCACCAACATATAAAGTATTATGCCTGTTTCAACACGCAACTGAGAAAAAAAGGACGACCAAAGTTAAAACCCACATGCCTCATAACAATGGAGAAATTACATAATAATTAATTAAAAACCAAGAACTAAGCATGTTTTAATTCACCAACTTATAAATTATTATGCTGTTTTCTAGATGCAACTGTGAAAGAGAAGGACAAGCAAAGTCTGTTGTGAAATAACGCGGAAGATAATGGACCTTGCAATTTAAGTCTAATGTGAGAAAAAGAAATTTTTGGAGAAATCAATAAGGAATGATAAAGACATCGGGGATTTACGTGATTCGGTTCAAGTGTTAGTACCTACTTCAAGGAGAGAACCAACCGCTACAAAGTCCACCATAAATTTGAAAAATAAAGAGTTTACAATCGCTCAAGTGCTTGCCAACCTTGATTACACCCAATGCAAACCTTCAAGTGTTATCTCACAATCACCTATAGAAAATTCACTTTGAACTCTCACAAAGAGAAAACCCTAACACTCCTCTTATTTACTTTAGCGTGTAACGGCCAGTAGAATTCCATCTCTTATATATAATAATAATAATAATAATAATATCCAAAATAGGAAACCTCTTTTATGAAACCTGCTCAAATATGAAACCTATTTCGAATTCCATCCATTAGGTTCCCTGAGTCATCCGAGTTCGTAAACCCAATTACTGCCGCATTACCTGAACTATATCCTCCAAAACATGCCGCAACATCTGTTGTTCCCAAAACAAAGTAGGAGGATCCACTTCACAACATCACAATATATACTTGAATTAACCGTGTACATTCTCCTAATTGCACATGAAAGAATAAGCCTAATACTATCTAGGTCATAACTCAGACAACCAACAGTACTAGCATGTGAATCATGGGGCACATGCTTCACCTCCATCCAAGTACACCGGGATAGTCTAGACAATTTAGGCAATGCAAAAAGTGGGTTGCTTACATAATTTCTTAACTGAATGTTGAAGCGCCTCAACACTTTCCCAACGTAGCTCCTTCAAGTCAATCACAACATCCCTGCAGTCTTCACACTTTGCATCTCCATACCCGAAATTGTCTTTAGTGCACGCAAATTATCTATTTTAATATCTACATACAATTGTCACTCTACCTCAGGTCACACTTTTTCTACTTCCACTGTGGCTAAAACACTCTCTATTATAATGTTTTGACAATATTAACCTTTGTGAGTCCCATCTTTTTTTAAGTATCATTTTTTGTTTGCTTGTGGTGTTTCGTTTGTTTTCTTCTATCTTTTCTCGTGGGTTCCATTTTCCTCCTCCTCCTTTACTTCACTCAATTTTCTCTTAATTTTGATCAAGGTTCAAGCCTTGGTAGTATCTGTCATAAAACTTAATGAGAGTAGGGGTGGATTCGGCAACCGAGATCGGCGGGAAGTAGGAGAGATGCGGGGGCGAGGAGAGGCAAATCCTCACCAGTCTTGAGGATGGGATTGTCGTTCTTGAAGGTGGCATTTTCAGTTTGCGTAAACAACTTAGTGAGAGTATGGGCGAATTTGAGCCATGGATTCGGAGGCTAGTAGGTGATGACGAATCAGCAATGACGGTGACTATGAGGACCAAGAAGATGAAGACGGAGATGAGAAGCGGACAATGCCGAAGAGCTTGATGAGGATTTGGGTGAGGACTTCAGCTCCTTGATTTGAATCTCTAACGGGGGGTTTTTCTTGTCTTCGTGAACGATGATGATCGAAGAGTTTGATGCAGAATGGGACAACAAATAACACATAGAGCGAAAGGGAGCGAACGGAGGTGAAGAGTGAAGAGATATGAGATGGGTCTTTTACTTGTTGTTGAGTTTTGAGTTGAAGAAATGGTGATGGAAGAGGAATAGTTGGGTGAGGAGGAAGATTATGCAAATCTAGGTTTCAACTTCGTGAGTTGCTTGTGTTGGTGATGGAGATTTTGGTGTGTGCTGGTGACGGACATAATTACAAGGAAATAATCGATCACCTCATGGTTGAATTTGAACAAAGGGGATAAATTACAAGGCTCACGCATACATCCCAACTTATGTCGTGCACCTAACAAAGCAGATTGCAATGGCAAATAGTCAGTGTTTATTGAGAAAAACAACGAGAAACAATCCAATTACATAATAAGTTAAAATGCAGTAGAGAAATTCTATCGGAAATTTGCTAAAACTAAAGATCTCATCACGCTCTGTTCAAACTTCAAATTTAACGAACAAAGAAACCGAATGCAGAAAACAAAGGTATGATTTGCAAAGAAAATTTTAATGATTGAGCCTCACATTCTCTAAAAAAAAATTAAACTCAAACTACGATATCAAAATTTCAAGTCTGAATCCAAAAGAATGCACAGAGAAAGAAGGAATTGGACTCAATTTCTCTGCATCGTTCACTGCATCAAAAGCTTGTCTATTATTGGCATAAGCGAGGGTTGTTTTAGAAAAAGAGAGAATAAAGAGAAATAAATGAGAAGACTATTATTGGCATAAGAGAGGGTTGTTTTAGAAAAAGAGAGAACAAAGAGAAATAAATGAGAAGTAAAGTGGTATAGTGAGAAAAGAGAAAGAATAAAAGTAATTAAATAATGTTTAAGAAAAAAGTGGGATCCACAAATATTAACATTGTCAAAACATTGTGATGGGAAATATTTTAGTCATAATGAGAGCGGAAAAAGCGCCTTCCTTTATATATTTGCGAGAAAAAGAATATAAAAGTTTGGGAAAAAATCACCAAAAACCCCAAACTTTACCATTTATGACACATTTACCCCAAACTTTTTTTTGTGACACCAAAAACCCCAAACTTTGCTATTTGTGACACATTTACCCCAATATACTGTAGCCTAGGGTATTTTAGTCTTTTTCCCTTTTTCTATTTTTTTTTGTTTTTTTCTTTTTCCGGCGAGGGCGCCTCGCCTCGCCAGCGTCCGGGGCGAGAAGGACCCTCGCCCGCCCGAGCGAGCGCGCCTCGCCGGCGTTGGGCGAGGGCGACCCACTCGCTCGCCGGCGTCGGGCGAGGGACCCTCGCCCCGCCCGAAGCGAGGTGAAGGCCGCCTCGCCCGGGCGAGCGAGGCCGCCCATCACGCGTCGGGCGAGGCTTCCTCGCCCCGCCCGGCGGCGGCCCTCGCCGGATCCGGCGAGGCGACCCTCGCTCGACGCCGCCGAGGTCGCCCTCGCCGGATCCGGCGAGGGCCGCCTCGCTCGACGCCTCGTCCTCGCCCGGCGTCGGCGAGGGCTATCCTGGCTCGCCCAGGCGAGGGCGACCCTCGCCGGCGCCGAGCGAGGGTCGCCCTCGCCGGATCTGGCGAGGGCCGCCCTCGCCCGGACGCCGGCGGGCAGCCCTCGCCCGCCTCGTGCGAGGGCAACCTTCACTCGCCCGGGCGGGCGAGGGTCCCTCGCCCGACGCCGGCGAGGCGAGGTCGCCGCGCCATCGCCGGCGAGGGTAGCCTCGCCGGGCTGGGCAAGGGTCCTCGCCCGACGCCGGCGAGGCGAGGTCCTTCGCCCGACGCCGGCGAGGCGAGGGCTGCCCTCGCCTAACGCCGGCGAGGTCGCCGGAGACCTCGCCGGCGAGGGCAAAAAAAAAAAAAAAAAAAAAAATAGAAAAAAATAGAAAAAGGGAAAAAGACTAAAATACCCTAGGTTACAGTATATTGGGGTAAATGTGTCACAAATAGCAAAGTTTGAGATTTTTTGTGTCACAAAAAAAAGTTTGGGGTAAATGTGTCACAGAGGGCAAAGTTTAGGGTTTTTGGTGGTTTTTTCCCTAAAAGTTTTATTATTCTAATAATCTAATATTCTCTCTCTCTACAAACCTCAGCATCCCTCCCGTCTCTCCTCTCTTCTCCCGCTCGCCCAGCGCCGTAGCTCTCTCTCGCCGGAGCAACCCTCGCCGCCGTCGCCGGACCTCTCTCAGTCTCTGACTTCCGTGAGCGCGCCTTCTCCTTTCCTTTATCTGCCTGAGCTTGCGTCGTGCTCTGTCTTGCAATGTGTAATTCTGCACAAGAGCGTCTGTTTTCTATAGAAGTCGCTCAAGAACGGCTGAAGCTGGATTGTGGCCTCATTCTGATAGAATATGAATGGGTTTGTCTTAGATATCTCTGGGTGTCTCTTTTTTCTTGAATCTTGAATATCTGATTAGTTTGTGCTGGCCTGCGTCAAGCTGGTTTCTTGTTATTGATTCCAAGGTGCTTTGAGCTCAAACAATTCGAGAGTTTGTTCCTTTTGGAGTTTCCTCTGCTTGGTGTAGGAGATGTTTGACGGGCACGTAACAATGTGCAACAATGTCCTTCTTTTTTTGATCAATCCGATTGAATTGTTTTTCCTAATTCATAACTTATTTGTGCTTGCCAGTCGTAATCGATGGGTTTGCGTATCATTCTGTTATACCATTGAAATTTTTCAGGCTCTTTGCAGATACCTGCTTGAATTTTGTTTTTTTTTTTTTGTGATCAATATGCTTGAAAAATTTTCCTATCATAAACCTATTTGTGCTTGCCGGTCGTAATTGATGCGTATGCATACTATTCTGTTAAAGGGAACCATTGAAATTCTTCAGGCTCTCTGCAGGCATTTCCTTCAGAAAACAGTATAATTGCCCAAGTAATTGTTGCTTTTCTCTAGTATCTCTAGTGCAGAACGAGCACTATTGAGAGTTACGTAGAAATGAGGCAAGAAGAAGTGGATCGATGCCAGATCCAAGAGTGGTACCCTAGATTCAAGTTGGCCTCTATCAAAACTCATATTCATCTGCTTCCGGAGTCCTTTGTCCAGTACCTTCTTGGTGACTCCGGGCAATTTATTCTACCCACTTCCGTCACAGGTGAAGATGCCCTTACCAACAGGGTTCATAATCCTGTGGATGAAGTTGACCTTGCGGTTCCAGAAGGATCTGGAGATGAATCCGAGGAATTTCCACCTCCTTCTTTTCCTGAACTCGAGTTGGAGATCAAAGAATCAATCAAATCGCTGGGGGGTGCCATTTTTCCTAAGCTAAACTGGAGCTCGCCAAAAGATGCTGCTTGGATTAGCAGCAGCGGGAACCTTTGGTGCACGTCTCTCGGTGAGATTGCCCTCCTGCTACGTGCAGCCGATTCATCAACCCACGATCTCTGTCACACATATGATTCTTGCAGTGACAAGACCTCATCGAGGCCGCAGAGCTTTTTCCTTGCTCTACGGGAGTGGCGACCAGCACTTACCAGCACTTCGACCTGAGATGGAATTCCGTTGCTTCGTTAGGAATAAGCTCCTGGTTGGGATCTGTCAACGTGAGGTTACCACGTTTTACCCGGTCCTCATCGAGAAGAAGGACCATCTTAAGGTTTTGATCGAGGATTTCTTTGAAAGTGAAGTATTTTCGAACTTTGAATTGGATAATTACACGTTTGATGTTTATGTAACAAATGATGGGAGGGTTAAGGTACTGGATTTCAACCCTTGGGGGGCGTTTACGCTGCCGCTCCTCTTTTCATGGGATGAACTAAGTGAAGGGGATGATGAAGGCATGGATTTTAGAATTGTAGAGAGTCGGTGTGTGGTTCAACCCAGTTTGAAAACGGCGGTGCCGTATGATTACTTGGATACGAGTCCGGGGAGCGGTTGGGACCAATTCCTGAGAAATGACGACAAAGAGCTGAGGAGACAAACTGAGGAGTCTCCGGAAGCCAGTGCTTAGTTATTGAATTTCGGTCAGTTTGAATGCACACACAATTTTTTATTGCTCTTTCTTAGGCGTGTTTTCTGTCGTGGCTTGATTTTTGAAGTTGTTCCTTTTTGTGTTCTTATTGTGATCCTGGAATTTCTTCTCTATTGCTTTCCTTTGGTATTAGAAACAGTCAACAACTAGCTAAAGTTTATTATCCATGTTGATATACTGCTGGAGTTTTTCAGTCAGATTGGGAATATCTCATAGGCGGTGAACATGATCTCTGCTGCTCATGGCTTAATCCTCCAACACCTATAATCACCCTTAATAATTTTTGTTCAAAATCTTCTTTAGGAAGACCTACTGCAAGGAAGCAGAGGTAATTACTCTGATCACACCATTAACCCGCCAAAGCTGATGGCCAGAAGAAACTGTCAGTTCCAGAGAGTGGATTTAAACCTCTCATTCCATCACCGCTGGTGAAACTGACCCACTCAAGATAGAATTCTTTTCCAAGCTCAAAATTAATTGAAAGATTGATGAGGGAGAGGAGAAATCTTGGAAAGTTTTTTTCTTTTTGGTAAAGGAAATCCTGGAAAGTTCAATGTACTTGAAAATGAAATAACTGATATATACTTCACCAGAACAATGAACATTGTCATCTGCAGAGAAGGAGCTTGCTAATCAGGGGGAACTCATCGTCAAATGTATTACTATTAAAAGGACATTGAAGGCTTGTGTATAACCATTTATTATTCGAAAAAACTATGGAGAAAAGGAGGCAGTGGCATGGTCCTCAACTCTACAAGCAGCCCTTATATGCAGTTATATTTTTCTGTTATTTGTCGGTGATTGTGAAATTGCTGATATGTTTACAGACTGTCCAAAGGAAGTTATGATATATTGAATCACTATCCAGATTATCTTTGTGAAACACGATCATTTCTCCTGATTTCTTGTTAGTTTCTCCTATTTTATTTGGTCTTTTGATCTCAATATATACTCTTATTACCAACAACTCATCGTGTGGTTGATTGGCCAATTATTCTTTCAGGAAGGCCATTAAGGAGTCGTCTGCTGGGTTGAGCATTAGTGCTCAAACATTGAGTGCTTACATTTAAGAGGTTCCCGCTATTGCAATCGGAGAATATGGAGATGCGGTATTGGGGCATTTTTCAGTTCTATGGTGGTACTTGGGGCCATGTTAACATTCATTGCTTTAGCTTGGTATGACATTCGATGACATAGGTTAAGGATTATGATGCTGCGCTAGTCTTGGAACTGGATTCTATGGAAAAATTTGCGCTTCAGTGTCTGGCCTTCCGTCAGGTATCAGATAATGCAGATATGTACACATCCCTGTTACATTGAATGTTCTGCTAATTTTCCCCTCTGGTAGTACTAGACCCGAGCATATGATTATCATGGTAAAGGCATACATTGGTTACCCATGTGGAACTACGGCATTGCTGCAGCAAGAAATGCTCCCCTGCAATGGTTATTTTTTCCAACAAGGTCACTTGTAAGTACATACCCATTTAGATGCTGATAAAAAGAATTTCTTCTTTCTGCATGTCTAGAGAAAGATGCCCTACTGTACAAGCTTGGTTTGGTGAGACTTTGAGGTTCTTAACCGCATGATCTAGCAGTCTTATCAAGGGGATTTCATTTTGGCTGCAAATCTTGCCACTGTTTGGGACTTTGAGTAAACACGTGTGTTGACATGAACCGAAAGTCTAGTCTAATCATCCCCTATTTCCAGCAGAAGCTGAAACTTCTGTAGACGACAATGGAAGAGATCAACATGAGTCCATTTTTGGTTGCAAAGATCTTGGGCTTGATAGGGCCAACATAACTTAGATTTTCACGAACCGAAGGTCTTCTCGTTGATCCTTTTCGTCCCGTTCCTTGATCAGTGCGAGGGCCCTCAGACGTTTTTTTATTTTTTCCTGTATCAGATCTGTCATGAGTAACAACACATCGAGAAGCAAGCCAATCGCATTGCTGAGATGCGTAATACTCTGGCAATGTGATTGGTCTAGGTTCGGTGAAAGGCCCGATAGAGCGAAAATCTTCTGTGGATCCCTAGCGATCTATCGCTATCATTTTATTTTAGGAGAATGTAACTTGTAATCTTCATGGGAACATCAAGTGTCAAGTTGACATGACGTGATCTCATAGGGCAAAAGAGTTTCGTAGTGGAAGAAATGAACAATTATATCAAAGAAGTTACGTTAATCCGACAGAGAAATATGATTAGGCATGGATAACGAAGTGAGTTTGATTTTCAGAGTACTATCTTTGAGATCGCCATGAGTTTCCGATAATTAAGACATACAATTGATGCTAAGTTTTTTCTTTTTTCTTCTAATTATTGTGAAAAGATAGCAGAATAGAAGACACTTTCCTTATTATATAGAGCAAATTACTTCCATTACCCACAAAAGGTATGGAATAAACGAGTGCATTTCCTCATTGGGTCAAAAGCTTCGATTGACCTTTTCTTGCCCTTGAATAATCTTGACCACATTTGACTTGGACGACAATAGACATACTTGAAAATTTTCAGAATACGGACACCATAAATGTTATAATTTTTGTACGGCGCCCACTTGAGCGATGTAACTTTTTTTTTTCGACATTTGAGTAACATGACTTCTAAAAATCATCACTTAAGTGCCATAACTGTCAATTGATCATTTGAGTGCCATAAATTTTTTTTATTGCATCGGAAATTTGATATGACATATCACTTGTTAACGTTTTTAAGAATTTATCAAGTGACAGGAAAAAAAATTATAGCACTCAAGTGAATCCGTACATAAGTTATGACACTTAAGTGATCGAAAAAAAAGTTGTAGCACTCAAGAAAGCGTCATACAAAAATTATGACATTTATGGTGTTCTTTTCTCGAAAATCTTCTTATGCCGACGATGTACGAACTCATCCACAAATGGGCCCACAAGATCTAACAAGAATCGCAAAACAAATCTCAATGTCAAAGTAAAAAATAACTCCTTCGCGATGATACACAGATCTTGTGAGGTGGCCACCTCCACACCACAAACCAAAAAGGTCTCGTAGAATGTTTTTTAAGAAAACATGGGCTTCGATTTTCGTTTGGCCTTCTTAACTCTTGGGCCCATACAACTTTTTTCAATCATATCACTTGGAAGTCTAGATGCCCTCCACAGGACAAGAGGATGATAGATAGATCTAGAAAAGTAGCAATATCTTATAATCATACTGCTCATTGGTGGGTTACTAGTCATGAACATATCCCGCATGTAAACTTATCTAAATATAAATAGATGTGTAGTCCATATTCATGACCTGCCAATCGGATTATCGATTGTAGGACGTTTTCTCCGACCAAGGATGGAGGAGCACATAGCTCATATCCCACGTATCGAACCCAACAACGGGAAGAGAGGTCGGAAGATACTTACTTACTCCAATAAGGGATGGAGGAAGACACGGCTCTATAAAAATTTAGAATGTATTTCTTTTGCCATCATAAATAGCTTTTTTTTCCTTGCAAAAAAATAAAAAGAGAGTTTAAAAAATTATGCAAAAAAATTGACACTGCTTAAAATTTCTAGCAAACCCCCGTACTTAACTCCCAATTTACTTTAATTCCTAGTCATTGCACTTCAATTTTCTTGTAATTTATTTTCCTTCAAACTCTTACTCTCAAGACCTGGCATGCCTTAATTACTCATACACTCGCTCGATCCATTTTCGAAAAACTTATTTGGTGGAAGTTTGATTATTTTGTAGGCGAGCTAGAACCAGAAAATAAGCTTTTGTTTATTTTTCTCAATCGCATGTTTGTCAGATTTCCCTTAGGTCCAACAACCTTATAAACTTTTGACGTGGTGTAATGTGCAGCATATTTGCATCCTTTTATTGTTTATTCTTCTTAGAAAGCACTCTCGAAGCTTTAAAATTTATAGAACTTCTAACGTCAATACATGTAAAAAGGAGCCTAAAAGTTCGGGAATATTGGATTTGTAAAAAGTCCAAAAGTTCAATCCCGAATTAGTATTCTAAGGTGTCACTTAGTGAAAAAATATGCAATATCCTCAAAGTTATGGCACAAAATACTATATTTTTATGATTACTATAGATAAAAATGCACCATCTTGAAAAGTTCAAGGCCTTAAATATAAGGGTTAATACCACGAAAAATCTCAAACTGGTACATCTACGATGGTACTCATGTGACAAATTTACTATTCATTAGTTTTCGTTTAATTTTACAGTCAAATTACTGAGTTGGATGACACGTGGCAGTTGACGGGTGTACCAATTTTGGGTTTTACCCTCCGTTTATACTATTTTGTGATTTTTCGTGGTATTAATCTAATTAATGGAAACTAATTGAGGGTAAATCTGTCACAAGTATACAAATTTGAGATTTTTAGTGATCAAAAAAATTAGTTTTGGGTAAATTTGTCACATTTATACCAATTGGGGTCTTTCGTGGTCAAAAAATCAGTTTGGGGTAAATTTGTCAGATGTGTATCGGTGTATGGTTTTTTGTGGTATTAACCCTATCACGCCCCGAACTCCACGGTACGCAACATCCCACCTTGGTCGATTAAGGTGCGACGTCCTAGGAAGCGTCGCCGACCCAACGCCCAAACAGAGAACAAGCACAAGCGGAAGCAATAAATAAACAACCCTGACAATAGAAATAAGAGACCAAAGTAACCAAACAACAATTAACACTGCTGAAAATAAGTACACTTTATATTACTGATCAAAAGCTCTTTTACAGCGTTTATATATATACACATCATCATTTGCATCCAGCTCAAAAACCTACAAACAGTCACTACAGGCAAAAAGGATCGGTGGCTAGGGTGAGTCGCCTAAACCTACGAGGAGGACTATAGTAAAAAAGGAACGATCCTCCTTATCAAACTCTGGTTCCTCCTAAGGCTCCCAGTCCGGGTCCGAAGACTCAGTAGGCTCCTCTGAGGATCTCTCACTCGGCTCGGACTCTTCTGACTTTGTGGCCTGGGCTGCTGCTTGCTCATCCTCCGAGTCCATTTCTAGCTCCGGATCTAGGTATAGACCTAACTTGTGACATTCCGAATTTTGGCCCATTTTTGGGATTTATAAAACGGGTATTTCGTCAGTGCGCTTATAGTAAAAATCTCGCCCGGGAACTGATCACTCCCGGTTATTATTTTTAAATCTTGAGATTTCGCTAGAATCGCATTCGATCGAATTTGGCCGTTATTTAGACCTCGAACTTGGCAGTTGATTTTCGGGAGTTTCAAGACGAAATAAATTGGACGGTGTCAATATTATCGTAGCCAGCATTGAGATTGTCAGGAATAATGGAAAAATGGGAGTTTTTGACCGGGTGCGAATTTGGACTAGTAGACCCCCTCGCTATAGTTTGATTTAATTAATTCGGCCTTTGTCCATTTTTATATGCGAGGCTTATTTTGGACCGGTAAATCGCTTTCGGTTTTGAATTTGGGTCATCGGATCGCATTTAATATTTGAATCGTGACCGTTAAATCGATATTTAGTTTGAACCGTGTCCGTTGGTTCGCGCTCGAGGATAAATATTAACTCTTTCTCTCTCTTTCTCTCTCCTCTCTCCTCCGCCGCGCACGCTCTCTCTCTCTCTCCTTCTTTCTCCCTCTCTTTTCCCCCTCTGGCCGCGCACGTCTTCCCCAGGCAAACGTCCCCTCAGCCCACGCCCATGCAGACCCACCCCCTGACACACACCCTCTCTCTCTCTCTCTCTCCTCTTCCTTCTTCTTCTCTTTCTTCTTCCTTCTCTTCGCTTCGCTCTTCTTCTTCGCCTTCTTTCTTCCTCCCCGACGAGCCCGCGCGTGTGGCCCCCGCTCCGCCTGGGCCGACCCAGCTCGCTAATCGCCGCTCGCCGGACCGACCTCCGTCGCTCGTCACCACCGCACACCATCCGACCGCCACCTCCGCCTAGCCGCCCCGACGCTGCCTTCCTCCCCTCCCGAGCGCGCGAGCTCGGCTCGCCGCCGTGCTCGACGAGTCCCGGCCGCTGTCCAGCCAGCTCCCCAGCATCGCCCCGACGCCTGAGCGTCTACGTCGCCGCCGCCGCCGAACGCCCCCAGCCGCGCCACCCGCCTCGGCCACCTTCCTCTTCTTCTTCCTTCGTTCCCATCGTCGTCGGGGAGCAGCTCGCCGCTGCCTGCCTCCGTCGCTACCTCGTCCACCACCACCCGGCGTCCTTCGCCACCGACCACCGCCATGCCGCCCGAGCATCGCCGGCTCCGAGCCCTCACCGCCCCAGCTCTCTCTCTCCTCGCCACCCCACTCCGGCCGACTCTCTTCTCTCCCTCCGAGCTGGTCGTCGGAGAGCCGCCCTGCTCGCCGCCGCGTCGCCGCCACCGCCAGCTGCCGAAGCAAGCCCAGCCGACCAGCCGACCAACCATTGCCCGTGCCCGTGCCCTCGCCCGCGCCCGTCGCGCCCTCGCCCGCGCTGAGTGAGACACTGTTCACTCGGGCCATTTTAGGCCCGAGCCGACTTTTCCCGGGCCAAAATCTAGTAAGTGACTTCCTAAACCCTA